TGCCCCGCCATGGGAACGTTATGAAGCTGAGCCAGAACAGCCAAACAAAGATGTGCCGCAATCACAAGTTAGAGCTCAAGACCATCGGGTATCACACTGCGATGTAGCAAACTGCCGTTGCGTAGCACAAAGAGACGAATGGATGAATCGGGAGCTGTAGAGTTGAGGTGGTCGATAATGTTACGAAGAGTCAGGTAACGTCGTTGCTTAGCAGAAACGTTGAACAGGTCAGTTACAGCAAGCACAGACGGAATAGTATCGTTCACTGAGGTCTCTGGTTGGTCGACTTGTAGACAACAGGGAACGTGTACTCTTGAAGTCGTAGTGCCCAACGACAACTCGACCAGCCGGATATTTGAGTAAACACAGCCATGCATAAGGCATGGTGATCACACACCACAGTGAAGGGTCTGCCGTAAAGATATTGACGAAATTTTCCGACAGCCACAAGAAGGGCAAGAAACTCTTTCTCGACTATAGAACAGTTCCGCTCAGCTGCGGAGAAGGAGCGACTGGCGTAAGCAATTACACAGTCGTGACCAGGTTGATTTTGACCGAGGACAGCACCAATACCGTGACCACTGGCATCGGTGCGTACTTCGGTGGGCGGAGAGTCGTCGAAATGGGCCAACACAGGGGGTGACGTGAGTAGGTCGACAAGATGAGAAAAAACCGACGCTTAGTCATGTCGCCAAGAGAAAGGGACGTCCAGGGGCTGCGCAATAACTGCGAAATCTTTAACAAAGCGGTGAAAATATGAGTACAGGCCGAAGGACGAGCGATCGACCTCGGAAGAACGTGAATAAGGGAAGTTGGTGACAGCCCGGTCTTTTGCTGTATCAGGTAGTATACCCACAGCGTCAACAAGATGGCCAAGCACGGTGATTTCTCGGCGGCCAAAGAAACATTTCGAAAAGTTGAGTTGAAGACCAGTGGTGCCAAATACTTGCAAAATAGCCCACAAGCATTGCAGGTGAGTGGTGATTGTCGGCAAAAAATGATGACATCGTCCAGGTAGCAGAAGGATATGGAACACTTGGAACCTCTCAGCAGCAAGTCCATCATGCGCTCAAATGTTGCTGCGCACAACCCAAAGGGCATGCCTTTAAACTGATATAGACCATCCGGTGAAATAAAGGCGGTCTTCTGCCGATCATTTTCATGGACAGCTATTTGCTAACAGCCTTGTGGCTAAACGGGTCGGCGCCGCTTCTGCGCCTGCGCGTCGCGGCGATGCCTCCAAACACGGGCACCAGCGATAGGAACACTCTTACTCGAAATAAGCAAGAAAACTGTGTGTGCCCCAATTCAGGGGCAGTCGTTGTTGAACCTTCAGTGCGGAAACATTAGAGTTATGTTATCCCACATCTGTTGACCCGGAAAACAAACGTGCCGCACCGCCATGGCCGACGAGGAAACCCTTGCTGCCCTTCAACAACAAGTACAACAACTGTAACAACAAGTGCTAGCCCAGCAGCAAATGATCCAGAACCAAGAGCAGCAGCTCCGAGAACAGCAGCAGCGCAATGAAAATGAAGCACTCTCGTCCGACGACCGTGCACAACCCCACTTTGATCATGCCCCCCAAAACTTCGCTCCAGCGGTCTCTGCCACCTCGGGCGCCTCCATTGCTGTGGCCGCCACGAACACGGACGTTTGTCGCGTCGCCGTCAAACTTCCGCCGTTTTGGGCAGAGGCGCCTGACGTGTGGTTCGCTCAAGTCGAGGCGCCATTTTCGACTGCACGCAACACCCAGGACCGGATGCGCCATGACTACGTCGTCGCCCATCTAGACTCTCGCTATGCGGCTGAGGTTCGCGATATACTTGCGAATCCCCCGGCTGATAAGCATTACCTACACCTGAAGAGGGAACTGATCCACCGGCTTTCACCTTCACAAGACGAGAAGGTGCGTCACCTACTCCAGCCCGAAGAACTCGGTGACCGCAAGCCATCGCAGCTCCTGCGTTACATGCGTGACCTCTTGGGCAGCTCCCCGGTTGACGACTCCCTCCTTCGTATCATCTGGCTTCAGCGTCTATGCTCACATACGCAGGCCATCTTCCAGGTGCAGCCGAATCTGCCGCTGGACCAGCTCTCTAACATCGCTGATCAAGTCGTCAAGATTTTGTTACCAGCATCGCCTCTCACCGTCAACGTCGTTGACACCCGACAGTCCAGCAGCGAGCTAGCGCGCCGTGTCGACAAAATCACCCATCAGCTGGACTAAGTGTAAAGGCGCCTGGATCAAAGCCCGAAGCTGCGTCCACAAAACGCTCCCAAAGCCTAGACAACAACTCCGCTTCATCGCACGGAAATGATAACGACCCTTGCTACTACCATCGCCACTTCGGGGAAAAAGCCCGGAAATGTCAACCACCTTGCTCAGCTGGACGTCTGAAAAACTTCAATGGCAGCCCGTAGAGACGGCCGGGAGCTGCCAACTTAGAGGTCGTCGCATATTCGTCAAAGACCAACTCACCAAGCGGCGGTTTCTCGTCGACTGTGGCTCCGACATCTGTAGCTTTCCCCGAACCTTCCTGCGTGACAAGCGTCTTTGCACGTACTTTGAGCTCAGTGCGGCGAACCATTCGACCATCAAGACCTACGGCTCGTTCCGCCTTTACATCAGCTTCGAAAACCTGTGTCGAGATTTTCTATGAAATTTTGTCATCGCCGACATCGCACAGCAGAACATAGGGTCCGACTTCTTGGCGTACTACAATCTTCTACCTGACTGCCGATATGACCGACTTATCGACGCTACAACAGGCCTCTTCACGCCGGGCCAACGTGCGACCACCCAACAGCCTAACGTCATGGCACTCACTATTGGGATCCAGTCGCCACACAATGACATCCTCGCAGGATTTTCCGACCTGACTCGATCTAGCGGGCGTCCGCGAGAGGTGCGCCACTCAACCGTGCACTACATTCGTACTACTCCCGGCCTCCCGTTCTCAAGCCGCGCCCGTCGGCTAGCCCCGAACCGCCTACGAATTGCACAGGCCGAATATGAAGCCATGCTCCGCGTAAGTACTGCCCGCCGCTCGGAAGGACCTTACGCCTCACCGCTTCATCTGGTACCAAAGAAGACCAATGTTGGCGCCCATGCGGAGATTATCGCGCCCTCAACGCCCGCACCGTCTCCGACAGGTACCCCGTCCGTCATATACAGGACTTTGCACACCGCTTAGACGGCAGCACTATCTTCTCAGTGGTGGACCTCGTAAAGGCCTACACACAAATTCCTGTAAACACGGATGATGTCCCAAAAACCGCAATTATCACGCCTTTCGCTCTATTCTAATTCCATTTCATGAGTTTTGGTCTCCGCAACGCGAGTCGAACCTTTCAACGCTTCAACGACGACGTCGTCCGCGGCCTGGACTTCCGTTTTGTCTACCTAGACGATATCTTGATCTTCTCCCGCAACAAAACGAAACATCACCAACACCTTCGTCAACTGTTCCAGTGTCTTGACGAAAAAGGCTCACTCATAAACGTTCAGAAGAGCACTCTCGGCACCCCCGTCGTCACGTTTCTTGGCCATGAAATCTCTTCAGAAGGAACTAGACCCTTGCCTGACTGCATCCTGTCCCTGCAAAATTATGCGCTGCCTGCCACAGCGAAGGACCTCCGCCATTTCTTGGGCGTGTTCAACTTTTACAGGTGCTTCGTGCCTAAAGCGGCCATATATAAGGCCCCTCTCCATGACGCGTTGGCCGGCCAACGCGGCAACCATCCTGTCACTTGGACCCCTGCCTTAACGCAAGCGTTCGAAGACTGCAAAACTGCCCTCTGCAACGCTACGCTGCTCTCCCATCCCAAGCCAGAGGCGCCCCTGGGTCTTCTCACAGATGTCTCTAGCACCGCCGTCGGAGCCTCTCTCATGCAGCATGTGGGAAACAACCGGCGCCCCTAGCCGTTCTTCTCGACGAAAGTCTCTTGCCCGAAACCGCCCCCACCTTCCGGCAGCATCGGCGATGCAACCTCACCCGTGCAGAGACGACTTGGCCAGCCTACTACAGAGAGCTCCTTGCCATCTACGAAGCAGTCCAACACTTGTGCTACATCCTGGAGGCACAGCACTGCACCATATACACCGACCATAAACCTATCACTTACGCCTTCTCCAAATGCCAACACAACCAGCTGTCCATCATCGCTCAATTCACCAGGGATATCCGCCACATCAGCGGAGAGGAAAACGTTGTGGCCGACGCACTCTCTCACGTCTCGGCTGTCGAGCTACCAACCTTTACAACCGACGCCCTCGCCGAAGCTCAAAAAACGGATACCGAACTCTAGCAGCTCCTCGAGAATGGCTCTTTGCTTCAACTTGAAAAAGTTACCATCCCTGGGTCAACGGAAGCTCTCTACTGTGACATATCAACAGGACGAGTGAGACCATAGGTCCCTTCTTTGTATCGCCAAAGCATCTTCAACCAGTTACACAAAACTCAGTCATCCCGGCATCCAAGCTTCTAAACGCCTCGTGAAAGACCGGTACGCGTGGCCCTCAATGCAACGGGACTGCCGCACCTGGGCACGCACATGCATTCAATGCCAGCGCGCCAAAATCACCCAGCGCGGTACGTCGCCACTCAGAGAATTCCCCCCTCCCGACGGAACGGTTTCAGCACGTCCACATCGACATCATTGGCCCCTTCCCACCAGCCAGCCCTTACCGCAATTGCCTCACCGTCATCGATCGTTATACTCGTTGGCCCGAGGTGTGGCCGCACGAAAAGATCACCGCAAAAGACGTCGAATCAGCCTTCTTCTCCAGCGGGGTTTCACGCTTCGGCACTCCTCGTCGAGTCACCACCGATCAAGGAAGGCAAATCGAATCTCAACTCTTCAGGCTCGACAGACTCTCCACCGGGTTCGAATGTCATGGACAACTAGCAACCACCCTTGCGCCAACGGGATGATTGAACGGTTTCACCGGCAGTTCAAGGCAGCCATCATGTGCCACCCTCACTCAACCTGGCTAGATGCTCTCCCCGCCGTCGCTCTCGGTCTCCGCGAATGTCTGCCTTGAAAGAAAACTTTTAAGCCAGACATTCAAGCCACGTACGCCCGCGGAACTCGTCTACGGGGAGCCGCTTCGCCTACCTGGAGAACTCTTCTCCGCTCCGATCTCTGATGCAACCAGCTCGGACCCTGCAGACTTCGTCGCTAGACACCGTCGCACAATGGGCGTGCTGCGCCCCTCACCAGTGGCTCGCCACACCAAGCCGACCCCATTCGTGTTTAAGGACCTGGCAACATGCTCGCATGCCTTCCTCCGCGACGACACCGTGCGCGCCCCTTTCCAGCCGCCTTACTCCGGACCTTACAAAGTCATCTGTCGCGACGACAAAAAATTCACCCTGCAAATAAGTGGAAAGGATGTACGCGTTTCCATCGACCGCCTAAAGCCACATTACAACCTTTCCCAAGAGCCTACCAACCTCCGCACGCCTCCAGTAATTTGCCGACAACAGCCCGCAACGCCTAGGCTCGCACCCTACACCACCCGCCTTGGACGCCAGGTGCGGGTCTCCAAACCTCTTCAACCCTGACGGCTTCTATCTGCGTGGAGGGTGGTGTGGCGAAACGGATCGGCGCCCCTTCACCTGCGCGTCGTGGCGATGCCTCCAAACACGGGCGCCAGCGATAAGAAAACTCGCACGAAATGAGCAAGAAAACTGTGTGTGTGCCGCAATTTAGGGGCAGTCATTGTAGAACCTTCAGCACGGAAACATTAAAGTTATGTTATCCCACAGCCTGAACGAAGGTTTATAGAAGAAAATTACCGTGCACCATGGAGGGAACTAAGGGCGTCGTCTATTCATAGCAAAGAATAGACGCCTTTCTTGGTGATTTCGTTGAGGTGCCGGTTGTCGACGCAGAACCTTCAGGTATTCTTTCTTTTTTACAGGTATCATAGGCGACGCCCGAGGACTCGAAGATGTCTTGATGTTGTCCTTAGCGAGCATTTTGTTAGGTTCCGTTCGAACGACGCTGCGCTCAGTCACCGAGACACAATAAGGGCGTCGATGAATTGGTCTTGCGTCCGCGGTGTCAATTCAATGGGTCAGCAGAGATGTTTGTCCATGCTTTGGTGAAGCGAAATCAAAAACATCGTGGTATGATGCGAACAAAAGACAAAGGTCCAATCTTTGAGAATGGTCCAGGTCCGGGGTAATCAAGTTGTCGAACGCGTCATCAGAGTTCGGGCTAGCAGCAGGGCTGCCTGTAGGCGGCTGTGGCAAATCAATGGCCAGGGCAACAAGGTCATTTGCTTCTAAAGCTGATATTGTGCCCAGCGTGATACCTTCAGGAAGCAGTTGTGGGGAACGTCTAAAGTTAGGGACAGGTATACTCTTGAATCCCCCAAGGAACTCATACCCTTCAATTCCCCAAGGAAGGCAAATGATTTTTTCTTTCATTTTGCTCTATCTCATTGCCAGTTATGTGCACTTTTCTGTCTATCTCCTGACATTTCACACAGGCTGCTGCCAAAAACGTATTGTTCTACAGTATTTTCTGTGCCTAGACTGACTGCACCTATTGAAGAGTGCCAGTTACCAGTGCGTGTGAAGTCTCGATCAACTTGCCATTGTTCGCGTGACCTTTCAATATGTTGTTATCGCGTTCATTGCTTTGCGTTTATGGTAAAGTCATTCAAGAAGAGAGCCACAGATGCCTGGTCGGACGCAACGACGTCATAGTCACTTCTGTTCCAATCATAAGCTTTGTCGTGCGACTTGGCTATGCCGTCATCCTCCATCGGATCTCCGTTGCGCAGCGGACTCTAGTGACCCAGGTACCGGTTGCCTGGGAACAAAGGCATACTACTCAGGTTAGGAGATAAGCACATGGTAGCGGCCGCGACATCGATGATATCTGCACTCTTAGTCGCCGATATTTCAGCCGCCTCTATTTGGACTGACTAACTTATCAACTGACTGCCTGAACTGACAGTGGTCGCGCTTGTCGTTGCTAATCATTGCCTTGCTAAAATGCTAATCATTGACCTAGTACACATGACTGAACTGACTCACTCGACTGAACGAGTGTCACAAACCTTAATTCTTTTTTAGTGCTACAAAAGCAATATTTAACATTCCACTCTACAAAAGTACTCGAGCACAGTTCAAAAGCCACAAAATATTGCCCATCAATCAGTGATACAGACACAAGATATGCTTGGAGATACAACGCAAGTAAAAAGTAAATACCTCTCTATTCTTGGATACATATACGTCAAACACCATATGAAATATGTAAGAGCTTAATATACAAACCTAGATCACGCACAAACTACAGTGACCAACGGTAGAGCTGAAATATACCAGGCATCCTATATCAGTACCCAACCATACTTCAATGATTGCAGGATGGAACATCAGTCAGTTCATTCAAAAATAACAAAACTCGTAACAGACAAAAATGATGACCTCCTTGATACCTAAACTTTTGTGGTTTTATATGTTTGATATTCGTGTACACCTTTGTTCTGATTACCTGTGATTGTTTATTAAAGTTTCTAATGACATGCTTGAGGTATAGATAACAACTTTCTTTTAAAAATTTATGATCGTTACGTTTGTTGGTTTCTCCTTCTGTACATAAGCGTGCCCAGTCATATCGGTTTTTTCTTGCGAATGTTGATTACGTTTTTGTGCATTGCTAATGCAATAGCGGTGAAGGGCTATTTTTTCTTTTTTCTTTTGTTTGTGGCTCAATAGGAATACACGTTCGTTGTATCGATATCTCTTTAAGACAACTCTGTTTATAACTTTGTGCACTTATTATTTTTAATCCTTTAAACAATTTGGATGATTATGTACCAGTGTATTCTGTACGACAAATGTTTTTGCTGTGTCTATGTTTTTGCTGCCAGGGTGGCACGACCTAGCCAGGGGTTTATTTAGTCTTTATTCCTGTCCCCCAAGACAAAGTGTAACGTTTTTGCCTTTAATAAAATGAATGAAATGAAAACTCTCCGACCTACACACACACACACATATATTATGTATTATATATATATATATATATATATATATATATATATATATATATATATATATATATATATATATGTGTGTGTGTGTGTGTGTGTGTGTGTGTGTGTGTGTGTAAATATAGGGGAAGATGAGATAGCCTCCTCTTTCCGTGGTGCGAACATCGTCTTTGCGGCCGTGGTTGTCTGCGCGCTTATCTAGGGAGTGAACAAGGCGAGGGGGCGCCTATGATTGCCACGCTATTGCGGCAATGATCAGCGTGCTCCTTGTGCCCCCTGAACAGGCGAGAGCTTCTACGGGCTGCGCTCTTAACACGAAAAAACTGTGCTAAGAGTGCACCTGGAGCGGCTGTGTTCTCCTACACCAACGCTTTGTGGGGTTACGTGACATCACATCTAAATGAGTTGACGGCAAATCTCACTTCGTATAACATTGCAGTTTGTCGCTATCACATTATTTGCTTCACCCTTTCAGTGAGGCTGATTTTTAGTGTCATTCCTGCCAAAGTCGCGAACCACACTTGATAGTATCCGCACGAGTATTCATGGCCACCGAGAAAGATTCTTGCGACGAAGCTAGTTATAAAGAGGCGACGCACGTTTGCAGATTCTGTACCGATTGTCACAAATTTTTCGCGTTTATCTCAATCTGCGAGTACGTATCGTGCAGCATTTGTGCTTGAGAAACGCGGGGCACGTTTTGGTCTACTCGCCATTGTTCGCGTGACCTTTCAATTCTTTGCAACCACGTTCATTGCTTCAGCTTTGCGTTGTGCCTTTTTTGTTTTAACACAAAAAAATTCCCTCTGAACAATTACAAGGAAATTCGCAGCTTGTCTTCGTCTTGCCAACACTGCATACGACAACAGAGCTATTATCGTGTGTGGACTTTTCAGCAGCGAATACTGTGTCATAGAAGCGCTTTTCTCTTGTTTCATTAATGCTGCGGTATAGAATGTAAAAAAATGAGCAATAGGGCTTGACTTATAAAACAATATCTTCCGCGTTGCACCATCAAACGGTAGGTTATATCGTAACAATGTTGATGGACTCGGGGTGTGATAAAACGTATTTATTAAAGGGCGAACCTGTGCCAACAACTCAAAGAGACTATGGTCGTAGCGCGTTACAGCAAAACACCAAAGATGTCTTCTTCTTCTACTTCTTCCAGAATAGTCCCAAGCGCGTGGCGCACATCAGCAGGGGCCAGCTGGGTTCTCGTGCTATCATCATCCTCTCTGCGCAACACTAGACGGCACGCATGTATGTCCCTGTGCGCGTGGTGATGGGCGCGTTGTTTGAATGCAGGCACTATGTCGCGGCATAATCCCCCTCCTCATACGCATCGTCCCGATGAGTCAGACAATGAATAGATTCGTGGTAGGAGTCACTGGTCTTCCGGTGAGCTTTCATAGTAAGGCTTCATCCGGACTACATGTACAACCTCTATAGGGTTGCGGCACTTTGAGCTCCCGTGTATAGCGGATCTGACTTGGTAAGTTACATCGCTTACACGATGGAGTACTTCGTAAGGCCCGAAGTCGCGGCTAAAAAGTTTTTCAGAAAGTCAACGACGACGCACTTGGGTCCATATCCATACTTTGTCACCTGGTTGAAAATGCGCTTCGGTATGGCGCTGATTGTACCGATAGGAGTCGATATGTTGTTGGCGGCGTATTTTGTATCTCGCCATCTGTCGTGCTTCCTCGGCTCTTTGCAGGAAGTCGTCTAGGCCAGGTGGATTGCTGCTTTCATCATTCAGTGGTAACATGGAATCCAGTGGAGTGGTGACTCTTCGGCCGAATACAAGTTCAAATGATGTCACTCGCGTTGTTTCTTGAACGGCTGTATTATATGCGAACGTGATGTAGGGCAATATCTCATCCCACAGTTTATGTTCGACGTCGACATATATTGAAAGCATATCAGTCAGAGTTCTGTTCAAGCGCTCCGTTAGGCCATTTGTTTGAGGATGGTATGCTGTAGTTGTTCTCTGTTTTGTATGGGTCATTCGCATCAGACATTTCATTAGGTCTGCAGTGAAAGCTGGGCCACAATCTGTAATTACGACGTTGGGTGCACCATGTCTGAGGACTATGTTGTTGATGAAGAACTTGGCAACTTCAAGAGCTGTTGCAGTGTACAGCGAGTCAGTCTCAGCGTAGCGAGTGAGATAGTCCGTGGCTACGACTATCCACTTCTTGTGTGCAGTCGATGTCGGAAACGGGCCTAGGAGATCCATACCGACTTGTTGGAATGGGGCATGCGGTGGTTCTATTGGCTGGAGGAGGCCTGCAGGTTTCACGGATGGAGGTTTGCGTCTTTGACACACACGGCAAGTTTTCACATAGCGCTGAACTGATGATAACAGTTTTGGCCAGTATATTATTCAACTAACTGCGTCTTAGTCCCAAGGGGAACAATTATAATGCAGTCAATGACCTGCAAGACATTGAGGCTTTGTGTTTTCATTCTGATACTTATTGAACACACACACACATTATATAAATATATATATATATATATATATATATATATATATATATATATATA